TTGTCCAGTCATACCAGATCCGGTCGCCATACCAAATCCCCTGACGCCTGAATCCTCTTTACGTTTATTAAGATTCCAATGTCCAACTATTGCTAAAATCTCGTTATCTTGTCGGCTGCGATCGGGTGCAATTATATTGGTATAATTGTGCTCGCTGGCCGCATTCCGAAACATACGCATACCATCCTGAATTTTCCCTGCTAGTAGCCACGGAGCCGCTAGAAATATAGGCAAAGGAATATTGGCAACAAAGACAAGAAAGAGCGACATGAGCACTCCTGGTTCATTGGTCTTCATTTGGCCGTTATATCCTAGTCAACATAAATTATATTCACAAACAATGTTTTAAATGGGCTTTTACGAGAAACTGCGTAACTAGTCTTTTTAAACAATGGTAGCCCAGTCAGAAAAATGTTGGCCCCTAAAATGCTCGCTATGGTCTTGATTAATCATTGCGCTTACAAGTAAAGTGTGCTAGGACCATAATTTTGGATAATCATGCAACGATTTGAGAGCTCTACTTTGGATATTAAAATACTACGCAGATGAGGTTAACATAGACTGCACGATTCCATAAAAACATCACAATTCTTTAAGTTTAAATCTTTCAGATTTTTGAGATGAATGTGCTCATCTTCACTAAAACTCTTTGGCAGCTGAAACCCAAAGACTTATTTGGGAAATCCTTCGAAGGATGGACACCTGTGCATATGGACCTTTAAGGACGATCTACTTTGGCGTCTGCTAAACATTTGGAGAATTCACCGTGCTTTTGATAGTTGCGTAGACGTGTAGAAAGTAAAAAATATCGGTAAGTAAACCACAGATCTACAGTTGGAAAGCTAGTTCCCGCAGATTCTACGGTCAACAAGATATCACAGGTAAATATGGTCCTCAGCTACGATGTTGCGTAGTACCAAATGCCAAGTGGAGCGCACCATAGAGAACAATGCGGACGACCAGCTGGAGGAGGATTCGAGACGGGTTCGTCATTTTCTGCAGGAGTTTATCGATATATGTCCGCAGTAACTCGCGTAAAGTGAAACCTTTACCAAGCATTAACTTGGGATCGGAGACCATAATTTCACCATTAATTTGACGTCACTCGGTCTTCATTGACGATATTCGTGCAGCTGTCCTCGAATGGGGTGGCAGACTGCTGAATCATTTCGTAAGATGATAACATTTTTAAATTGGGCAAGTTTCCCATAGAATCGATAACATCGATCTCCGGATCAACTTAAAGCATATCTAACTAGTGCTTACATTATTCGTAAATGACAGAGTAACCGAGCCGCACGAAAGAGACTGCATTTCGTATGTTAACCTGAAAATTATACCCCCGTCATTCGACCTCTCTGACCCCATATGAGCGTGTAGTCATAACAACTATATAGTGGAACAAACTGCTTTCTACATTTGTTCTGACTGCAAACGTTGGTATATTTTAGAAAAGATTAGAGGAAACTTGAATTGAATGTCATATAGTTGGTGTGCATCAACGATTGGCAGAATATACCCACATCATTCTGTAACATATGCATGATTTGCCGGCATTCATCTACAAGTTGGGTTTTTAGTGACTCTGCTTTGCTACTTTGCCTGAACTGAATCATACCTTCTACCCTGGACCTATACCAAAAGAGCATTGCCAGCACCAGCCCCGCCTGGAATCGTCGAAATTCTTTGTCCAGGCGGGGCAATCCGGGGGCAAGCGTGAACTAAATTTTTTTACAAATATTTCGATATCTATTTTTTCTTCCTCGATAAAAACGGGAAAACGGGGGTGCACGCTGCAAAAGTATTTTCCGGAGGTGGGGCAAAACGGGTTGTATTCCGCGACCTCTGGCCCCGTCAAATTCAGTGGCATAGAGGGGCTGGTGCTGGCAGGGTGTGGAAGTTTAATTTAAGTTCCATTATTGGTTAAATAATTTAATGTTTGCTAAAAAAGCTTATTATTTTAGCTTATTATTAAGTTTTTCACGTTTTAGATTAATTTTCAATTTATTTTCGTTTGGTTACATTTTAGTTTACTTTGCTATGTATGCCCGTCCGTAGTGTCGGGACATCATGACGCGAGGCACGCGAGGCGCGCGTCAAGCGCTGCTCGAGATCACGGACACTTGGTCATCCCTTTCTTTGTTCTGACTGACCAGCCTTCGATCCTGGCCAGCGGCTCACCCCTGCCCTTATTCTGATTGGCCAGCGTTCAGCCAATTACATTTACCCCACCCCATATACACAGCGGCGTCAGCATGACTCGTCACGTGAACTAAGCCTTCGTCGCCAGTACACGTCCTGCCTCAGACAGTCCTCTGTTTTGCCTATATGTCATGCTGCCTACAGGCAGCCTTCTGTTTACATATATTACATTTTTCCTGTCTACAACCTGCCTTCCGTTCTCAATACATAACATTGGCGACGCAGTGAAGCGAATATGG